TTGCTGCTGCTGTTGCTGGTGCTGCTGCTGCTGCTGCTCGAGTTGCTGCTGCTGTTATTCTCACCTGTCTCTGTCTCCTTCTTCTGCAGCAAAGATGATGCAGCTGTCTCCGTTCAAGGCGACGTCGCCGGTGCTGCTGCTGCTGCTGCTGCTGGGGTTATCGGTGCCCGTAGTGCTGCTGTTGAAGCCATCGCTGCTGCTGTTTGTGTGTTCCTTCACTTCTTGCTGCTGCTCTCCTTCTTGCTGCTGCTGCGTGTGCTGCTGCACTGCTTGCCCCAACTCGCTGTCTAGGCGAGGCGCGACGGCCTCAGCAGCAGCATCAAAGTAGTCTGCTGCAGCAGGAATCGTATACTCATTCTTATGTGCATCATCCTCTGCTGCTGCTGCTGCTGTTGCTGCTGCTGCAAGGAGGAGGTTGAGGAAGTAAAACTGCAGCCTCAACCGCCTGCGGCTGCTGCTCGTTGCTGCCATGCTGAGCAACAAAAAATGCAGCAGCAGCAGCAGCAGCAGCGGCAGCTTGCTGCTGCAGCTCCGCCTGCTGCTGCTGCTGCAGCTGCGCTTGCTGCTGCTGCTGCTATGGGCTAGTCGATGCAGAAGACCTCCTCTGCTTTCCTAGATGCTGTTTGTGTTGCTGCTGTTGCTGCTGCAGCTGCTGCTGCTGCTGCTGCTTCTGCTGTTGCTGCTGCTTCTACACTGCGGTGATGTTGTCTTTGCAGCAACGTCGAATGCAGGCAGCTCGCTTTGCTTCCGCTGCCGCCTCAAGTGTAAATCTCTTGCTGCTGCTGCTGCTGCTGCTGCTGCTGCTCCTGCTGGTGCAGTGTTTGTTGAGAGCAGCGGCAAGATATAAAGAAGCAGCAAAAGAACTGAGCAGAGATTCAAAGCAAAGAGAGACTGCGCGAAGCTGAACGGGCGCAGCGGGCTTAGTCGATGACTAGCGAAGGCAGCAGCAACTGCTGCTGCTGCTGCTGCTGCTGTTGCAGCACCTGTAGATAAATATCTGTCTATGTTTTACATAAACAAACAAAGACAAATACACACAAAGAATCTTCATATAAACGCTGCTGCGTCTTCTGCCGTCAGGCCGTTGCTGCTGCTGCTGCTGCTGCAGCAGCAGCTGCTGCTGCTGCTGCTGCTGAGGCCCGAAGACGAGAGGTGCCTTCTGGCAACCGCGCGCTGCTGCTGCTGCTGCTGCTGCTGCTGCTGTAACAACAACAGCTTATTTGAATAGGGTTTTTGTTATTAGGTGTGAATATAATGTATTTTAAAGATTAATTTGCTGCAGGCATACCCTCCTGCAGCAGCAGCAGCAGCAGCGTGCCCCGAGCAGCAGCAGCAGCAGCAGCAGCAGCAGCAGCAGCCGCTGCCGCCGCTGCTGCAGTGGATGTGGCGTGCATGTGCTGCAGGCGAGCAGTCTCTGCTTTGCGTGTCTCAACTCAGCAGCAACAGTAGCAACAGCAGCAGCAGCAGCACTAACAGCAGCAACTGCAACAACCCATTACTACTTCTTCCTCCTCGTCTCTCTAGTTGTTGCTGCTGCTGCAGCAGCAGCAGCAGCAGCCTCAGCCCTGGGAATCCCCAAGGCTCCATTTACCCTAAACCCTAAACCCTAAACCCTAAACCCTAAACCCTAAACTGCCTCTAGACTCTAATCCCCCCTTGTTGCTGCGGGGGGGCTCCTTACCGCGGCAGCAAGAGCAGCAGCAGCAGCAGCAGCAATAGCAGCATTGGCTGGTGCTGCTGCTGCTGCTGGCACTCCGCTATAGGAGGTGGGGCGAGAGGGATGAGCAGCAGCATTAGCAGCAGCAGCACCGACAGAAGCACGAACAGCAGCAGCTGCAGCAGCAGCAGCAGCAGCAGCATAAGCAGCAGCACCAGCAGCAGCACAAGCAGCAGCACAAGCAGTAGCCGCAACAACAGCGGCAAGAGCAACAGCAGCAGCAATAGCAGCCACACCAGCACTAGCATCCCGCAGCAGCAATAAAAGCAGCAGCAACTACAGCAGCAGCAGCAGCAGCAGCAGCAGCATGGAGTCCCATTCACGTGGGGGCCCTGCAGCACCAGCTGAGGGCTCTCAAGCCAGCAGCCGCGACATAAACCCTCACCAAAATGAAGAGCTTTCCGATCTTACTGGAAGCGACTTAGAAGAAGATGTGAGGGTTTAGGGTTTAGGGTTTAGGGTTTAGGGTTTGTTAGGGTTTATTATTAGGGTTTATGAGAGTTCATGAGGGTTTATTGGAGATCACTAGGGCTTATAATGGTTTATTATCAGGACTTTATTAATGTTTATTATTAGGGTTTAGGGTTTAGGGTTTAGGGTTTAGGGTTTAGGGTTTAGGGTTTGTGTGAGCAGATGACTTGGATAGAGTGGTTTTGCGGTTTAAAGGGCAACGAGATGTTTGTTTTTGTCGATGAAGACTTCGTGCGCGACGATTTTAATTTAACAGGTTAGATGCTCTCTTTATTTATTTTTATTTGTTTATTTTTAGTTGTTTAATTTACT